CAAGGCCAGGCCCAGGCTGGGCAGCTTCAGGCTTCACCACGGGCACTAGCAGCACAGTCTGACCCCACAGGGACCCAGCGGCTGGCCTGGTGCCCCCCTGGCTGCCTGCGGTGGCCTCTGCAGCTTGCCAGCAGGACTTCGCTGCACGGCTGTCTGTCTGCTCAGCCTGCACGCGGAAGGCATTCCACAGGGGCCCCAGGGACCAGGCAGGACCTGGTAAAAGGAGGGAGGCAGACTATGGCGGAGATCCGGAGGTGTGCAGCGGGGTCAGGAGCCAGAGCGGGCATCCCGCGGAGAAGGCAGCTGCAAAGCCCCTGGGGACAAACGCTGCCATGTGCACTGCGGCCGGATACCCAGTCTAAAAGAAACCAGAAGTCTAGATTTTTATTCTGTCAAAAACTATTAGAGCACAGTATGGGGCAGCAAAATCCTCGCTACATTTGGCCACTGTGCACCCAGTGAACCTCCATCTTCTGGCAGCCACTAAGCACTAGGTGTGGTGCCAGGCGCGTCAGGACCGGGAAACCCACCTGCCCACTCTGCCTGCCAACCTTCTCTCCAGGCTGCCCGCTCTTCTCCCTCTGCCTGTCACCGCGCAGCCACGCCGGCAAAACCCACCCAGCCAACTCCCACTGTCCCTTACGGGGTGCTGGTCAGGCCCCCCTGCCTCTTCTCCACTCAGCAGCCAAGAGCCATCCTCTTAATGGGCAAACCAGGCCACACTGCCCCCCTGCCCCTCAGCTGGGCCCCCAAGGCCAGGAGGGGTCCGGCCTGGCCACCCCCCATCTTCATTTGCACCAGGCCCTCCCTACCGCACTGGCCGCCAGTCTCCTCCTGAGAGGACTTGCTAGAAGGTACATCAACGCCTCCCTCTCGCTCCCTCCCCTGGCACCACCAGCACGTGCATGGACCAGGCCACAGGACTCATGCCAGTGGGGCACAGAGACCTCTTGGGATGTTTGGGATTCTTCTTGCCTGAAGGATAGATTGGCTCAGAGCTGGAAGCCTGCACCCAGCCTGCCCTGAGAGACTAATGCCTGGCCTGCTGCCTCCCAACTCACCAGACTTGGCTGGGACGTCTGCCTCCCTCCCAGGACCCCTGGGAAAGCCTCCCAGATGCCATGTGGATGCATGTGCCTGGAGGGCCCCCCAGCAGGGACCTTGGCAAACACCATGTACCCCTGGGCCAGCCTGTGCCTGGCCCCAAATCCCTGGGAGGCTCCCACCTGTGGCCCTAGGGCCCCTTTGTCTCAGGATCTAGCTTGATGCCTCCAAAGTATTCAAATGACTTTCCTGCACCACCCCACCCAATAAAAAGAACCTTCTTCAAACGTCTGGGGCATCCCATGGGGCTGTAGCTGCTTCCAGCCCTCTGCCACCAAGGCAAGGCAGGACTTTGGAGCTAGGCCTGCCCAGTTTAAATCACAGCCCTGCCACTCCCTAGCTGAGAGAAATGGGCCCATCGCTTCGGCTCTCCTGAGCCCAGTGTCCTCATCAGCTCACGGAGTGGTTCCCGGGCTCAACTGATCACATGTCCGAGGTGCTCGGCAGGTCCCTAGCATTCAGGAAGTGCACATCAAGGCAGTTTAAACCCTAATGATAAAAAGGTTATCTTCCAAATTACATTACCAGCTGGGTGACGTCTGGCATATGGCTTCACCTCTCTGGCTTCGGCGCGCCCCCCCATCCCCCATCCCCAGGGCCAAGAGGATTAATGGATACACCACTTGCAAAACCCTGGCACAGAGCGTGGGCCCTCGGAACACGGGAGCTGTGAGGATTATGGTTTGTAAGGAGGCCTCAGAAAGATGAGGCTGGGGAACAGCGCGATATACCACCTGTTCTACCTGCTCAAATTGGGTCAGGCTGGAGCTGTGTACCCGGCTGTTGCCATGGCACCCAACACAGGGAAACACTCCAGCTAGGAAGGCGGGTGCTGCAGGGGTGGGGCCTCAGGCCTGCTTTACTCAGACAACACCCATGTGGACACCAGCAGTCTCTGGGCCACCCCAGGGATCCCTGGGATTGGGAAGAGTATGCTACTGGATCTGGGCCCAAGGTCTAAGCAGGTGTCATCACCCCTGACCCTACCCCAACTCCAAAACAATGGGGCCTTGGCCATCTGGAGAGGTGGGCTGTGAGGCGAGGCTCCCAGGCTGCAGAACAGGATGGGCGGGATAGGCGTGGAGGAGGTAGGAGCCCAGGAACCCCTAACTCCTGGGCAAAAGCCAAAGCAGCTCTAAAGCAGCCTCAGGTCCCAATGTCCCTGTGTGCTCCCTCCAGCCACACCTGCCCAGCAGCTGACAGGTACCCAGAGCCCACTAAGTGCCCAGCCTTGGGGGCTCAATGTCAGCTCCTCCCTCCACAACGCTGTCAGGTTTCAACCAGGATGAGGGCTGGGAAAGGCTGTTTGGGCTCAGCTGGGTTCAGGGAATCCATGGCCCCTTGCCAGGAGGGAAGAAGGGGAGGCAAAGGTGAAATCCACTGTGGGCCGAAACCTGGAACTTTCCAGACTTTCCCAGATGAGGGGGCAGGTTTAGGGCAATGGAAAGGCTGACAGGTAGGGTGACAGTGGCTCCCGTGCCTGGGAGGAGGCCTCAGTCTGGGGCTAGATACAGATTCCTCCGTGGGATCTAAGACCCTGTTCCACCCCTAGCTCACGGGTGGGCCCTCTGCTGACTCTGGTTGGTCCCTCCAAGAAGTGGGAGGCCTGGGGCCTGGACCCCTCTGCCAGAGTAACCACAACTGCTGCACAATTTGCCTGAGCCAGACGTGGCACAGCCATTATCCATTCTCACAACTCTAGGGGCAGGTATGACTTCTCCCATTTCACAGACAAGGAAACGAAGGCTCAAAGGTGGAACAGGATAGTGGTTAAAAGCACACCCTGAGGGAATCTGGGCTCTGCTGTATTAGCTCATGCAAATCACTCCCTCCCTGAGTCTCAGTTTTCACCTCTGTAAAATGGGGATAATAATCCTACAGTTCCTGCCCCCCCCCACCTCCACCCCACTCCATGGCATAGTCCAGGAATTAAGGAAGAAGTGCTAGTAAAATGGGAAGCACCTCACCAACAGTCGCCGGTTCTTGGAATCCAAGAGTTTAGGTAACTTGCCCAAGGTCACCCAGTCAGTGAGTGGCTGACTCCAGACCCTAGCTCTGAGCACAACCTTTCCCCAAAACCTTGGGCAGCTCTGTGGGTGGCCATGGGCTCGGGATCGCAGCCTTCCCAGGCAGCGGAGGACTGCCACCAGCCCCCACAACAAAGGGCAGCCTTTCTCTGAATTCCTCAGATAAGCAGTTCCCAGCAGACTGGGGAGCCTCCAGGCCTGAGTGGGCCCAAGTGCAGAGAAAAGGCACCCCACCCTGTCTGCACCAGAGATTCCTAAATCTGGGTTAGGCTGTATGCCCACCCACCCCCCACCCCCTTGCCGGCGTCCTCCCAGACCACCAGATTCATCCAACAGGTCTCCAAATAGGCCAAGTTCTGTTGACAACTGCCTCCTGTGAGGTTCCTGGAAAGCCACTTACTTCCTCTTTCTGGGCCTCAGTTTCTCCAACTCAGAACTGTGAGGCAGCTCCAGCTAACTGGGCCCACAAGGAGGCCTGAGGAGCAAAGGGACAGACCAGGGAAGGGAACCAGCATGTCCTAGGCACTGGGCCAGGTCCTGTACTGCATTCTATCTACTGAAACTTCTCCACAACTCTGACAGAGACCTGTATGGGGCCCAGAAAGTGACAGAGCTAGGACTTGAACCCCCATCTGTCAGACTCCAAGACACTCTCCCCGCAGCAAGCCCCAACCATGTGACCCCAGGTGGGCACAGTCAGTGGGTGCAGCTCAGGAACTCAGTCACCCTCGGCAATGAGCTGGACAGCTGGACCTGCAGGATGGGGAAGAATCCATAAACCAAACTGGACTGAGCCTCTTTCAGGGAGGGTGGCAGCCTCCTTGACAAGGGCATTTGCAATGCAAAGCAGCCCAGCCACAGCCAGAAGAGGACAGACACTCAGAGAGGGCTGGGCAGGCCAAAATCCAGCCACCTCCCTCCAGCCAGGCCGGGGGTGCCTGGGAACCTGTGGCTGGCCCAGGCTCTAAATCATACGACAGCCCAAGCGGCCAGCTGGGTGCAAGGTGGCCAGGAATACTCCTCCCCGTCTCAGCCCCTCCAGGCACAAACGCTGGTGGGCTCTTTGTGCAAGTCTGAGGAATGGGCCTGTGTGCAAGGCCCCACGAGGGGGCTGAAAGAACGAACCCCCACCTATCCAGCTGGTCACCTGCAGCCCGGCACCCTGCCAGTTTCCTCAGGCCCAGACCTCCCAGATCACTCAGCCCTGCCTTGTGCAAACCTGCCCCAGACACACATAATCCCCAGGACTCTCTGGGCCCACAGGGGCGCTTCCACGTGCCAAGTGGCTAGATCTAACTCATCATCCCCCCCGCCCCCCGCCCGCAGGCGCGACTGCCCCAGCTCCTACCTTGACGACAGGCTGACAAAATCCCCGCCATCCAGCAGCCGGACCTTGCAGAAGAGGACTCCGTTCACGAAGGGGACCGCAGTCAGCTCCTCCAGGGTGAAAGTGGTTTGGAATTTGAATTTCTTCTTCTTCATCAAGAAAGCCATGAGCGAGTTCCCTGAGTCTGAAGCCCCGAAGGCCAAAAAAGGGGGGGAAGCCAGAAATCCCCAGGATTCCTTTCCCTACACCACACCCCCTCCTCAAAACATCAGAGCCGGATCCCGCCCAGATGGTGGCGAAGGCGGCCGAGCAGGCGGGGATCTAAGTCCGGAGGGCCCAGGTCTGAGCGACCAGTCCAGTTCGCGGGCCGGCTGGCTTCACCGTCGGGGAGCCGGGGCTCGGAGCGGCTCGGAGTGGCCGGGGGCTTCACCTGCATGTAAACAGCGGGGCATGGCCCAGGAGGCAGGGGCAGGGGTGGAGGAGGGCGCGCGAGCGGCCGGGCTGGCAGGCAGCATCCCGCACCGCGGTCACCGGGGGGCTCTCGCCGCACTACCGGGCGCGGCTGGCGGACCGGTGAAGCCGAAGGCGGCGGGCGACCCCGCCCCCGCCCCGCTGGCGGCCGGGGGAGGCGCCCTAGCCGCGCACACGCCCCCGCACCTGGGTGCCCGGCGGCCCGCGCAGGTGAGTCCGGGGCGGCTGAGGGCACCCCCAGGGGGCGACCGGGAGCTCTGGGGGGCCTCTCCGGGAGGCGCGGCGGGGACAGTCCGGGCCGGGAACGGCCGGCCACGGCCCCCTCCGGGCGGGCACCGGGCTCGGGCAGTCGGGGCGCCGCCTCCTCTTCAGTCCTGCGTCCCGCGCCGCGGGCCCCGGCGGAGCTGAGGCGCCTTTCCGGCCGGCCGGTGGCACCCGCCTCGCTCGCCGCCTCTGCCCAGCACCCCGCGAGCAGCAGCGCCGCCCCCTGCGCGCCGGACGCGGCCGCCCGAGCCCGACGCTACGCGGCGCCGCTGGGAGAATGCTGAGGCCCAGCGCGGCCGCCCGCGGAGCTGCCGCCGAGCGCGGGAGGGGCGGGGCGCCGGCGGCCCAGCCTGCCTGCAATTGGGCGGCCTGGCGGGGCAGGTGCGGAGCGCGATTGGCGGACGGCGGCGTGGGGCGGGACTCGCGAGAGGCAGAGGGGGCTCAGGACGCTTGGATTGGTGTGTCGCGCGGCTGGACCCGCCTCCTCGGTCGGGGCGGGGCGGAGGGAAAGGGAGAGGGGCCCCTAGAAGGCAGTGGGAGGTCGCGGGGCGGGAAGCCCGGGCTGGTCCGGCAAGGAGGAGGGCGCGAGCAGAAGAAAAGAAGAAACAATGAAGAGAAGAAACAATATGAACACTGGCTATAACGGCCCTCCAGTGTACCCCCAGACTTGAGCTCGTTAGCCACTAAATCAGGCCCAGAGGCAGTGAGTCCCATTTTTCCAAAAACACCCAGAGAGGTGGCCAGAACTAGACCAAGCAGGTCCTCCGCCTGGGAATCTCTAGTTCTGAGCATTGAGAAGGAAGTGTCTGCAAAGGCTTCGCCGAGGGAGTGACTTGGAGCAGTTCACGCAACCTGTGCTAGACCCAGCTTCTCCCCCAAGCTGCTTTCCAAGCCTTTTGTTGTCGATTAGCTTCTTAAGCTAGTTATTGCTAGTCTCTCTGACTACATTAACTGCCCTGGGTACAGAGACCGCTTCCAGAGCTTCGTACCTCCCAGACCCTGGACACACTGTAGTTCATTCATTCAGTCCCCAAATGTTAAGGGGCAATCTGCTTGAAACCAGGCTCAGACCCAGCAGTGAGTTCCTGGTGGCCCTCTCCTCTCCAGCCTCCATCTAAGCCCAAGATCAGGTGGAGGAAGGAGCAGACAGGGACACAGGCAGCAACAAATCTGGTAGATGAGAACTGTGACAGCGACTGGAGAGGCTCGCTAGAGGCAGGATGCATCATGCCCTGAGTTAGGCAGGGGCCATGCAGAGGGAGCCTCTAGAGGCCTGGGGACAGAGAATGTGGTACCCACAGAAGCCGTGAGTACTTCCATCTGGCTGCATTGAGATTCGAGGGGCAGGGGGCAAGAGCTGGAAGGCCAGTAGTGGTTGGATCTTAGAGTCTTGTAGAGGAGAGTAAGGAGGGGAGCCATTCACACATTTTGAACAGGAGGGTGACCCAGATTTGTTTTTTGTTGTAAGAAGCTGGCTCTGGCAGGCTGTAGTGTGGAGGAGAGAATATGGGAAACAGGGCTGAGGGACCTTGTGCATCCAGGCAAGAAATGATGAAGGCAGAACCTCTGAGCTGAGAGAAAGCGAAGAGGATGGATTTGAGAGGCATTTGAGAGACAGAAATGGATTGGACTTGGGGCTGAGTTACGTCCAGACATGTAACTGAGGGCTCAGATTTCTGATTTCTTTCTGCCTCCCAGCCATAAAATGGGATGATGACCTCTACTTCCCTCCAGTTGGTCCCATAATTTAGAAAACACAATTAAGCCAGATAGGTGAAAAACGGTAAGAGCAGCTCCCACTGCTATTATGTACCCCCATGTATAGCTAGGGTAGCTGAGGCCTAGAGAGTTTAGATCATTGGAATGGGGTCTTAAACTTGGAGGATAGGCACTAGAGGGCTAAGCTATGCTACCTGCTCTGTGGGGTGTGTTCTCCTCACTCATCCTAGCTGGGCCTGCTCCACAGAGGAAGGGCCCAGGCCCACCTGACCCCAGGAGGGGATTTCAGAGGAGAGGACCAGCCAAGGAGGTCTCAAGCCCTGACTGGCTCCTCGGCTATGACCACGAGTAACCCCAAACTGCTCTAACAGGAAGCAGGGTGGGCCTGGCCACCAGACTTAGCTCCGTCGTATATTTATCTCTCTTTAGCCTCAGGGCTGGGAGCCCAGGAAGTTTCCCTTTCCTCATTTCCCAGATGGTGCCTGGAGAAGGGAGAGAGCCTGGTGCCAGTTCAGGATGCTCCATTTGGGGTGAGACAAACCCATGTTAGAATCCTGGCTCTGCTGCACATTGGCAGTTTGGCCTTGGTTTGGGACACTGAGGCTTGGGGACTCCACATAGAGAGGGGGGTCAGTGTGATATGGCTAAGACCCCTTGCTCTGAAGCCATCAGAGAAGGATTCAAAATCCAGCTGACTCAACACTGACCACCTGTGTCACACAAGCTTTGGGTGTACTTTGCATGCGTAGAAAGGAATCTGGAAGGATACACTGTAAACTTTTTTTTTTAATCACTGAGTCATAGTTTTTCACCTGTAAAAGGGGAATAAGAATACCAACCTGGGGCGCTGGCTGGCTCAGTCAGTAGAGCATGAGATTCTTGATCTCAGAGCCATGAGTTCAAGCCTCACATTGGGCGTAGAGCTTACTTAAAAATTAAAAAAAGAAAGAAAGAAAGAAAGAATACCAACCTTTTCAGAATGTTATGAAGACTTCAAGAGGCCACACCTGGAAATGGCTTAGGCCGGGGATCTGAGCGAGTGGTTAGAACGGAGCTCCAGGCCAGCATGTCCACACTTCTCCAGCACTCCCAAATTCCCAAGCATAGTCTGTCCTACCTGCTTGAGGCCCTGAGCAGACATAAAGAAAGCAGTACCTAACAAGATAATTCAGACAAGTGGTCTGGAGAAGGAAATCCCGGGAAATGTGAGAGAGGATGATTGGATGGGGGTTCCTGGGCTGTGTGAGGGATTATCTCAGCCCAGACCTACATAATAAGGAGGACCCTTGGGACCCCTAGGTGGCTCAGTCGGTTAAGCATCTGCCTTCGGCTCAGGTCGTGATCTTAGGGTCCTGGGATCAAGTCCCGCATGGGGCTCCTTGCTCAGCGGGGGGTCTACCTCTTCCTCTGCCTGCCGCTCCCCCTGCTTGTGCGCTCGTGCTCTCTCTCTCTCTGACAAATAAATTTTTAAAAAAGTCTTTAAAACAAAACAATAATAAGGAGGACCCAAGCCTAGGAAGCTCTGGGGGCAGAGGCAGGGACTGGCGTGTTTGGGGAACTGTGTGTGACTGGAGGGGAGTGGGTAGAAGGAGCTGAGAGAGAGGCATGGGGTCAGGCAGGAGCCTGCTAATATAGGCTCTGTGAGCTTGGGAGGAGATTGTTTTTGTTTTGTTTTGTTTTGCTTAAAGATTTTATTTATTTATTTGACAGAGAGAGAGACACAGTGAAGAGGGAACACACGCAGGGGGAGTGGGAGAGAGAGAAGCAGGCTTCCCGCTGAGCAGGGAGCCCGATGCGGGGCTCGATCCCAGGACCCTGGGATCATGACCTGAGCCAAAGGCAGACACTTAACGACTGAGCCACCCCAAGGAGTTTAGATCCCCCCAAAGGGACACCCCCGGAGGATGTAAGCAAGTTAGTGACAAGATCCAAAATTCCTCTTTCAAAGTCCTCTCTGGTGATGTGGAGAATGGATTGGTTACCAGTGGGCAAGAACAAGGCCAGGCAGACAGGTGAGGGGGCTAATGCAGCCGTGCCAACAGGTAGCTCAGACTAGCGTGGAGCCAGAGCACTGGGAAGGGGAGGGGGACATGTGGCAGAGGAAGAGCTCAGCACTTCCTGAGCAACAGTAGTAGTTTCTCAAATAGAGCTTTTTGAATATCCCCAGGGTTCTGAATTTGACTGGATGCCACCTGGCTCCTGAAGTCGGGGCGTAAGTGAGCACAGGCACTGGAATAGGTGTGGGGAAGGAGTAGAGGGAACAGAGGAATTTAGTGGGACTCTAGCCTCGAGAATAGAATCACAGCTGCAGAAACTGGGAGGCCTGAGACAATCCTCACCTTTGTCTGGCCCTGGACAAACTCTCGTGATACTGTTTACCTCTCTCTCTCCCCCATTACAGCACAAGCTTCACAGGGTCCGACACCTCACCCACGGTGTCTGGATGTCCATTTCAGGGCCCGCCACACAATAGACACTCCATAAATGACTGCCCAAGGGACAGATGCCCAGATGCACACATGATATATGTGTGTATATATGCACGTGTGCGTGGATGGCTGGGTAAATGGATAGATGGGTGGATGGACAGGTGGGTGGGTAACTGTAGATATAACCACATCACCTCCTACTCTAAAACTCCTCAGTGTTGCCAGGAACTACCAAAATTCAATTTGCATAATTCCTTTTTTTTTTTTTAAGATTTTATTTATTTATTTGAGAGAGAGAATGAGATAGAGAGAGCATGAGAGGGGGGAGGGTCAGAGGGAGAAGCAGACTCCCTGCTGAGCAGGGAGCCCGATGCGGGACTCGATCCCAGGACTCCAGGATCATGACCTGAGCCGAAGGCAGTCGCCCAACCAACTGAGCCACCCAGGCGCCCTGCATAATTCCTTTTTTTAAAAAAGATTTATTTAGGGGCGCCTGGGTGGCTCAGTCGTTAAGCATCTGCCTTCAGCTCAGGTCATGATCCCAGGGACCTGGGATGGAGCCCCGCTTCGGGTTCCCTGCTCCCCGGGAAGCCTGCTTCTCCCTCTCCCACTCCCCCTGCTTGTGTTCCTTCTCTCTCTGTGTCTCTCTCTGTCAAATAAATAAATAAAATCTTTAAAAATAAACAATAAAAATAAAAATAAAAAAGATTTATTTATTTGAGAGAGAGTGCACGCACCCATGCACAGGTAGGTGAGCAGGGGGAGGGGCAGAGGGAGAGAGAGAGACTGATCCTCAAG